GGCACTCTGTGGTTGAAGTATGAGCCAGATTCAGCTAAGGAGAGAGAAGATATGCTCCAGACAAGGATTTTTCATATAATTCAGATATGACCTTGACCTTTGACCTAGAAACCTGGTTCAAGGTCACTGCACACCGGTTACCCAAAGGCACTCTGTGGGTGAAGTATGAGCCAGATTGGGCCAAGGAGAGGGAAGATATGCTCCGGACAAGGATTTTTTCATATAATTCAGCTTTGACCTTGACCTTTGACCTAGAAATCGAGTTCAAGATCACTGCACACTGGTTACCCAAAGGCACTCTGTGGGTGAAGTATGACCCAGATTGGGCCAAGGAGAGAGAAGATATGCTCCGGACAAGGATTTTTCATATAATTCAGTTATGACCTTGACCTTTGACCCAGAAACCTGGTTCGAGGTCACTGCACACCGGTTACCCAAAGGCACTCTGTGGGTGAAGTATGAGCTAGATTGGGCCAAGGAGAGAGAAGATATGCTCCGGAAAAGGATTTTTCATATAATTCAGCTATGACCTTGACCTTTGACCTAGAAACCTGCTTCAAGGTCACTGCACACTGGTTACCCAAAGGCACTCTGTGGGTGAAGTATGAGCCAGATTAGGCCAAGGAGAGAGAAGATATGCCCCGGACAAGAGATCTCGGACGGACGGACGGATGGACAGCCGGACGGACGGACAGACTGATCACTATAGGGCACCCGCCAAGCGGGGCCCTAATAACAAAACATAGCAAGAACACAGAATCCCTGATAAAAACAAATAACATAATGTAGCAAGAACACAGAATCCCTGATAAAAACAAATAACAAAATATAGCAAGAACACAGAATCCCTGATAAAAACAAATAACAAATCAAAGCAAGAACACAGAATCCCTGATAAAAACAAATAACAAAACATAGCAAGAACACAGAATCCCTGATATAAAAACAAATAACATAATGTAGCAAGAACACAGAATCCCTGATAAAAACAAATAACAAAATATAGCAAGAACACAGAATCCCTGATAAAAACAAATAACAAAATATAGCAAGAACACAGAATCCCTGATAAAAACAAATAACAAAATATAGCAAGAACACAGAATCCCTGATAAAAGTAAACATCTTGACATTTGCAGTTTTTACAGACATAAACTAACATCTTGTCTTAAGTTGTTTTTTTACCAGAACTCCTGAGAAAAACAAACAATAACACATAAAATTTTTAGTTAAACAGTCATTTAATATGTAAGTATTTGACTTATCCAACTTTATGATATCATAGCACAACATAAGGCAACTATGTCAACATGAGAACTATCCTATGTCCTTTCTTACTTTTGAGGCCAGTTCAGTGAAGACAGCCAACAGAACCGACAGGAGTTTCCCTGTCACCCTGTTCTCAGCCAAACTATGAAGTAAGTAGTACTCCACCATGTCTCGGTACTGTTGTACTAACGGCTGACACTGTCCTAGAATCTGGACAAAGGTCAGGACATCTGACCTTGTGTCTGTAAGGTCAAGGACATCCCTCACCAAACTCTGAAGAGACTGAATTATCTGCAAATAAAAAATTAAAACAATGATTATTCTGTTAAACGAACATGTTAAAATATGCAGCTGTGTTAAAATGAAAACAATACATATGTCAATTTGGAATAACTGTACATGACTGTAACATTAACAAATTTACCTTTTTCAGTTGAAGACATTTCTTATCTCCCTTTAATCTCTCATCAAGATGGACCACTAGATGTCCCTCTAACAATGTCCCAGTATCCTCTTCTACAAAATTTAATATCATAATCTGTTAGTAAATAGAAAATGTCCCATAAACAAAGTCAGGAATATCAACAGAGTGTGTGAAGCTATTACCTTTCACTCCTGCAGTGCTCTGTTTGTGATTCTGTGTGAGATCCTGTACACTCAGTAACAGACCAGCTATCAGATTCTCCACCCTGTCACTAAATGTCTCCACCTTCATCTTCTCTCCACTGTTATCACTGAGTGGTTCTATCCCTGAACTCTGTATCTCCTCTTTATCTGATCGTGTGACATGTCTTTCTGACTCCATGTTGACCCAGTGTGTGAATTCCCCAGCCCTGCTCTGTATTCCCTGTCTGAGGTACCTGACTGTAGCTATGTAGGAGGGCAGGGTTCTGTCTTCAGGGTCACAGAAGTGTCCTTCTATCTCTGACAGTTGGGGTACACAGTCAGTTAAATCTCCGTACACTGACCTCACCTTCTCAAGGTCACTCCTGTAATCAAGAAGAAGGTTTACATTTCTTGTTTAAATATTGCAAAATACTTGGGGTAAATTCAATATTTTGTCAGTTCTAAATAATCACTGCCAGTTACAAAATTAATAAAATATGACTTACAAAATGAAAATGAAGGTGAAGAAATTTTATATTTCATATTGAATTATAATACAATCCTGGCATACCATGTAATTAAATGTCTTTTTGTAAGAGGCATGATACAGTCATACAATGTGTTGGCCTTTTGTTGTATTGTCTAGAAAAATAAATGTGTAGAAAAAAATAATTAAAATACAAGTGTGGCACCTAGGTAGCAAATCACATCATATTCATTTTCCTTAATTAATTAATATAAAGAAGAAGATAGCAGATACATCAGTAACATTTAAGACTTCTGTTGAGAATCCTGGTTTCTGCTTATGGATTCTGGGACAAAAACTCAAAAGAAACAATCTTTGCCTGGAGAAAATACAATATTTTTAAATCCAATGTGACCAAAAATGCTCAAACCTGAATTTCATCAAAGCAGTGTTTCCACTGTTCATCCCCATATTTCATCAAGGCTGACTGTGACAACTGATTTCTGGGAAATGGAGACGGATAGTGAGTTATCTCCTCTTGTTGTCGAAGTATGACCTTGACCTGAATTAGACCCTCCTTCATGCTGACCAAGAGAGATAGTAGGGATTCCTGTAAATGTATTCAATGGTAATAGTGAAGGAAAAATAAAAGTGGCACCTCAGATTCATAAATTGAAATTATATAGACATGTACATGTACATTGTATGTCAACACTAAAAATTCTTCAGTTTGGTTCCTTTTACTGATTATCCATTGAAAAAGAATCAAACATACAGTGTTTCCTTACAATTAAGATATCATATTGTATAAACAGAATGATTTTGTCTACATACCACACGCTCCCTTGTTGACTTCTGTGGAGGGGGTGTTCCATTAACTGAACATAAATCTTGTAACACTTCAGACAAGGAGCTTCAATTGATCAAAAAATGTCAAATAAATGCTTAATACCAGGTATTTGTTTATCTAATGTTTAATTTGGCTGTCTAAATATTTTCTTTAAAAGATCGTCATATTAAAACTGCCATGGATATAATCAATTGCAAATCTTTCAAATATACCACTAAAGAATTGTCGTCATGTGACCCTTGACCTACCTTAATGATAAGAAAGCCTTGTGAATCTCCACCACCCCAGAATACTGATCCACCACTAACTTCATTAAGTGTTCAGTGAATCCTTTACATCGCTCTATATTCCCTACACCGAGTTCCTAAAAATTAAAATAAATCACACAGAGCCAATTATAACTTTTAAATCATATATACCAGTATCGTTCTTTGCTTTTGTGATCTGAATTGCTACTGTTTTAAACACCCTGTATTATCTCTAGGTCATGTGATCTAGGAATTTACTCACCTTGGAAGGAGTCTGTAAAGCTGTGGCTAACTTGGCTCTTCTGGCGACACATTTATAGTAATAGTCATGGCAACTCTGTCCTATTTCTGTAGCGCTGTTCTCACTAAAGGAAAAATTAAACATTTACACAAAGCATAAATGAAAAAAAAATTATGTAGATTCAATTCTTTATTTAGATAAAATGAGGATAAAAACAGCCCCACCTTGTGGTGAGTTGATCTGAGCACACAGAGACATCTAGTGGTGGAACAAGTAAAGGGAGGTTACTCTCAGCGTCACAGAGAAGTCCTCGTCTGTAGGACAGACCTGTACAACAGATGTTTATAGTGAATATATTTTTGCAATAAAAACCGTTTTTGTTAATTCATGCATTTCCAAATCTTTACACATGTACATGTATTACATAGTTGTGCTAATTCATTACCTAGTTGTGCTATTATTTACCTAGCTGTGCTATTTCTTTAAACAGATCACTGAGAGCTTTTCTTTTCTTCTGTCCAATGTGTTTAGCTTCCGACTTCTGTTTTTCTTTGTCATCTGTCTGTAAGCATCCATTGGGATGTTCATGATTCATAAATACAAACATATGTGTACCTCAGTACATAATATTGCAAGGAAGAGATCATTCCAATAAAACTCACCTGTGACACTTCCAGTTGTTGTAGTTCATGAATGGATTCAATGATTTCTCCTAAAAGTAAAGGATATAAATTAGGATATCATTAATCTTGTAACTTATATGTTTCAACAAGCAGGCATACATATAAGTATAAGTACATGGCTATTTCTGTTTCATATTAACAAAACTCTGCATGATAAACTTTAATTCAACCCTTGAAATAAAGCTAAAATTCTTAACTACTGAATACAGATTTTCTTTTTGAGCATTTTGAAGTTTATGCTTTAGTTCACTTGATCATCTGCACTTCTCTGAGACTTAGTAGTTGAAGTATGTAAGCAAGCGTTTACCTGTGAACTCATCTAGTCTGACAATTAGTTGGTCATACTTGAGTTTCTTTGTCAGCGATATATCCAGTGTTTACACATTCTGACTGATAACTGACCAAGTCGGCTGTGTAGACCTCCACGATCAAGGGCAGGTAACTCTGACTGTTGTGTCTGCAACAATTAAACATACATGTTGGTAAAAAATATACAAAATTGGTCAAGATAGGCAAATGTTACACTAATCTTAATTAGCTGTTATAACAACAAATGCATATGCATTAAGTTCTATAAACTCTTTTTCATTTGCCAAATAATTACAAACATAAATTTACACCTGTCTCACCTGTAGACTGACTGTGTGTGATATCAGAGACTGTACAGCTGAGCTGTATGTTTCTCTCCAGGTTAGAGTTCTCTCCCTTTGACCAGTAGAATCTATACTGCTATCAGGGTCAGCCAATATACCCTGGACTGGTTGTTCTAAAACAGCCTACAATAAGGAACAATGAATAAGCATGTAATATGTAATTTTGACTACCAGAAACACAATCCAATCAATATTTATCCTCTTTCAATTTCAAACCTACCTGGAAAGCCTTCATCTGTTTGTGTAATGTTCGGTGTGTTTTCTCTGTTGTCTGTTTTAGGGCCTGTTGATGTATTATGATCGGGCTCGGGATGCCTGTAATTTGTTGTTACGTTTAGACGCCATGCTTAAATAAATGTTGTGTTCATCTATGAAATGTTTTATCAATGATCAGCCCTGATAGGCATGTCAACATGGTGGCAGCGGTGCAAACTTGTTGTTAGTGTTACCGGTCGTCCCCGAAAGTGATGCTCCGTGAACTATTGTAAAATTATAGTGAGAAACTTTGAATTTATTTTTCAACACGTGCTTCGAACAACCGCCATATTGGATCCAGACTCCATTCTCAGTAGCCTGAAATTTTTATTCGGAATGGGTGAGCAAGAACAAGCTGCAGGACCTGTACAGGTGTACAATTGTCCGTTCAGATTACCTCCTCAACTTGATTTATCCTCTGGAAATGTATCCGAGAACTACAAAAAGTGGAAAAGACAAGTTGAAGTTTACATGTCTGCGTCAGGAGGAATTGACAAAAGTAAAGAGGTACAAGTAGCAATTATTTTGAGTTGTGGTGGACCTCACGTAGTCGAGATATATGACCAGTTTCAGTGGGAAGATGAATCTCATAAGAATGACCCTGCTAAGTTATATGAGGAGCTACAAGCCTATTGTAATCCTCGTTCCAACGAAGTGTTAGAGTCTCACAGATTCTGGAAGTTACCTTATCAGGAACCCTTTGACAAATTTCTTACAGAATTACGAACACGTGCAGCGTCATGTAATTTCCAGGAACAAGAGAGGATGATGCGTGACAAGATCGTATTTACAGCTACTGGTAAGCTACAAGAATTACTGTTACGAGAAGACAAATTGACTTTGAACAGAGCAATTCAGATATGTAGGGCTTTTGAACAGTCAAACATACATGTGAAAGAGCTACGAGAAAACATCACTTCATCTAACAAAGTGAATAAACTATCTACAAACAAACGACAGAAAAACTTCACAAAGCAGAAAGTGACACACAAACAGAAAAGTGATTCACAGCCTTCAAGCAAGGAGAAGAAAGAGTGTGATTTCTGTGGTTATAAACATGAACATGGCAAATCTAATTGTCCAGCATGGGGCAAAAGATGTGACAAGTGCAACGGGAGAAATCATTTTAAGTCCAAATGTAAGAAAATACATGCTGTTGACGAAGAAAGTGAAGACAGCCCAGAGTTAGAAGACAGTTGGCTCCTCGCATTGAAAAGTAAAGACAGACAGAGCAAAGACATCACTGCGATAATGAATGTAAATGATTGTGACGTACGTTTTCAGTTGGACAGTGCAGCTGACGTAAATACCATTTGTCAGAAATATGTGAAGAAGGAACAGTGTCGTCCGTCAAACATTCGTCTTAACATGTGGAACAACACTCATATGAAACCCCTCGGTGAAGCCGATCTTGATGTAATCAATGCGCGTTCCAACGTCGTCCAGAAACTTAGATTTGTAGTAGTGCAAAACAATCTTACCTGTCTACTTGGCAAAGATGCAATTCAAGACATGGGACTTGTGACTGTGAACAGTGAAAAGTTCATATCTAAAGTTGGATTAGAACAGCCTCTTGGTGACTTGGGCATTGCAACTCTGAAAGTTGACCCCAGTATTCAACCCAAAGTACTTCCGTGTAGGAAAATACCGATAGCTATCCAGGACTCAGTTAAGCAGGAAATCGACAGACTTGTTGATCGAGGTGTTTTGATACCAATAACAGAACCAACATTGTGGGTTAGTCAGATGGCCGTGGCTCACAAGTCAGACGGAAAGTTGCGAGTTTGTATAGATCCACAACCTCTTAACACAGCTCTGATACGAGAGTACTACCGATTACCTGTATTAGATGACATACTTCCAAAGCTAACGAATGCTAAGGTATTTAGCAAACTTGACGTTAAAGAAGCATTTTGGCACGTTCGCCTTGATGAGAAGTCGAGCAAACTTACAACTATGATAACGCCATTCGGGAGATACAGGTGGGCTCGATTACCCTTCGGATTGAAAGTGTCTAGTGAAATCTTCCAGCGACGGTTAGACGAAGCATTATCAGGACTGGAAGGTGTGTATAGCATTGTTGATGACATTATTATTGCAGGATGTGGTGACAGTGAAGAAGAAGCAAAACGTGACAATGAACTCAAGATGCAGAAAGTTTTCAAGAGATGTGAAGAGAGACACATTACACTAAACAAGGATAAGGAAGAATCCGGACTTCGTGAAATTTCATTTCATGGACACAAAATTTCTAAAGATGGTGTCAAGGTTGATGAGAGTAAAGTGAAAGCTATCCTTGAAATGCCAGCACCGACTGATGTCTCGGGAATCAAACGTTTATGTGGAATGGTTCAGTACATGTCAAAATTCCTACCAGACTTGTCGAAGGTATTGGAACCACTACGACTACTTACCCGTAAAGACCAAAAGTGGAACTGGGACAGCAAATGTAGGTCAGCATTTCAGATTTTGAAGCATAAGTTGACAGAAACTCCAGTTCTGGCTTATTTTGATCCTTCAAAGGATGTAACACTGCAAGTTGACAGCAGCAAAGAAGGAATTGGTGCCGTACTACTCCAAGATGGAAAGCCGGTCGAGTACGCATCAAGAGCTCTTACAGAAGCAGAGAGAAAATGGGCTCAGATAGAGAAGGAAGCTTTATCCGTTCTCTATGGACTTGAACGCTTTGATCAGTACACTTATGGAAGGAAAGTTTTTATCCATAATGATCACAAACCATTATCTGCTATATTGCGCAAACCATTAGGACTAGCACCTAAAAGACTGCAAGACATTATGATGCGTTACTTCAGATATGATGTAGAATTCGTATTTGAGAAAGGAGTAAACCTTGTTATAGCGGATACGCTAAGCCGAGCTTTTCTCATGACAACGGAAGGAAGTCTAGATGAGCGTCATAGGATTCTATCTGTCTCAACGTTACAAGAAAACGATGTACCAGATGTCAGAATTCAAGAAATTAAGGACATGACTGCTAAAGATTCAGAGATGCAAACATTGGCCGACACCATAGCCAATGGATGGCCTGACAGTAAACATGATCTTCCAACGAGTGTGCGCCATTACTTTGATTTTCGTGACACTCTCAGCTTTGAAGATGGACTCATCTTGAAAGGAGAAGCAATCGTCATTCCAAAGGCACTTAGATCAGAAATGAAGATACGATTACACAAAGCACATCTAGGATATGACAGTATGATAAGGAGAGCTCGTGGTGTTATTTTTTGGCCTGGGATGAAATCCGACATAAAACAGATAGCAGATTATTGTGGAATTTGTCAGGAAAGAAAACCAAGAAACTGTAAGGAACCTTTACTTCAGCACTCAACTTGTGAATTACCTTGGCAGAAAATTGGACTAGATTTATTTGAGATACAAGGAAAACACTACATGGTCTCGGTAGACTACTTTTCCAGTTTTATTGAGGTAGATTACCTACCAACAACGACAAGTGCAAGAGTGATTTCATTGCTTAAGAAACAGTTCTCTAGATTTGGCATACCAAACGTTATAATATCGGATGGTGGACCACAATTTAGATGTCAAGAATTTCAGGATTTTGTGAAGACCTGGAAGATCGATCACAGATTCTCATCTCCGATGCATCAGCAAGCAAACGGAAAGGCTGAATCTGCGGTGAAGATCATCAAAACACTGATGATTAAAGCACAGGAGGATGGAACAGACCCGTATGAAGCGTCACTTGAACAACGTTGTACTCCAAGGCAGGATACCGGTCTAAGTCCAGCACAGATGATGTTCAACAGAGAGATACGTGCTACACTCCCTATGAGATCTCAAGTGAACAATGATTTTGGAATAGTGAAGTCCAAACACAGATCCAGACAGATTGCCGTGAAGAAATCTTATGATAAGAAAGCACGAAACTTACCTGAAGTCGATATTGGACAGTCCGTTTATTTCCAACACCGGGAAGGACAAAATTGGAAGCTTGGGAAAGTGATTCAAATACTTGGACAGAGAACATACGTTATTAAGGACCAACAAGGAGTCGAATATCGAAGGAACCGAATTCATATTAGACCAACTAAAATACAGATCCATATTCGTGATCAATCTCCAGTTCGTGATGAACCAATCAGCAAACGTGTACTCTGTGAATTTCCAAAACCGTTTAGTGAACCAAACGAGTGTATATCTAGCAAACAGATACCAGTGATTACAGACTCAAACGAACAACATTGCGTACCAGACTCGATTTCAGAAACTGTCGTCAGCAAGCCTCACAAGGATACTACGCCAGATACTCGTGCAATGCCAATATCGCGTGAACCGTCATTAAGGATCCGTAGGAAACCAGCATACTTGAAAGACTATGTTCAAAATTGATTGGGATAGTGTTTAATTCTATTTGATTATTTTGTTGGAATGTTAATTAACAGTTAATGAACATTTATTTTGGAAATGTTCAGTTAAAGTGTTTACACAGTGTACATCTTTCTTAGAAGGGGGGATGTTGATGTATTATGATCGGGCTCGGGATGCCTGTAATTTGTTGTTACGTTTAGACGCCATGCTTAAATAAATGTTGTGTTCATCTATGAAATGTTTTATCAATGATCAGCCCTGATAGGCATGTCAACAGGGCCCAGAAGTTCATGTCTGTCCAACGGGCAATTTTCACAAACCCCTTAATTCAAATGAAAGAAATAAATCAAAATGACATGTATTTGCTACATATATTCATAAAGACAGATAAAATCCTAATTTTGTGACAATACCTTGAGATCTTTTTCTTAATTGCTGTATTTTCTCTCTAACCAATGGTAAGAACTGACTGTAAAACTGTTACAGGTTCCATAGTAAATTCATCATGCCTAGAAATAAAACATTAAAAAGTGATAAATAACAAATCAATCAAATATGCCAGTAATAAACTGCAGCTATTGTGTATGTAATAGACAAAGAATCAGAAAATAATAATTATTCACTGTTGTGAGTGAAATGATTCATTGACAAGTAATTCTTCTCATCTGAATCTTATTGGATTATAACACATTTACAATACTAAGTAATCTAGACATTGTCAAAATAAATCCTACCTTGTGATTGCGTCCCCCCTTCTTTGGCCTCAGTACAGAGGTACATGCTTTGACAATGGAACGACTTCAACATCCCTAGTCGAGCCTCAAATTCCCCTAGATTGGACCTCTCCATGAACTCTTTGAGGGTCCGCATGACCTCTGACAAGTCTTTCTCTTCTGAATCTGAATCTTCTGAAGTCTCCTCCTACAGAATAATAATTTGAAACATTATGATGATTAAGATTAGGAACAAGAAGGTTATGAACTTCTGAAAATTTTAACTAAACTGTCACAGAGGGAAAGCTTTCTTACCTGTTGACAAGTTGCCTGGATAAGTTGATAAATGTGGAACCACCATTTGTTGGCTTTCTTGGACTGCTTTACAAAGACATTGTCTAGGCACTGCTTCCAGCAGCTGGAAAATGTCAGAATACACTGTTAAAGCATAATTTATATTTGAAAGGGTTCAAATTTGTTGGTTTGGGGAATTTTTTTTTAAAATCGAGCCTTTTATTTTTAAATCATAAGGTTGATTACATACTATGATTACAAATTTAAGCCCTAGATACAGAGAACCAGATGTTTGCCTACCTGAGTTCTAGTTTTCTCCAGTCCAAAATCTTAGAAGAAACTTCTGACAACTGGCTTGCCATAGAAACATGCTTAGCTGCATTGCTTTCCCATTCCTATAAAATATATACCTCAAAATCACTTTACACAGTACTGAACCCTGAGTCCATATGTGCTGTGACAGGATCTGTAGTTTGTGTAGCCTTGATTTTAAGTCTCTCAGGGGAACATTAACAGTAAGCTGTCTGTCCTGTGATGACTTCTGTGTTTCCTCAGATCCACCACACATCAGGTGGTAGGCAGTCTGACTGAGTACTGCCTTATGAAGACTTTCTGGGCCTGTAATTGTAGTGATAAGCAACATTTAAATTTCATCAAAATATTTGACATCTGACTGGCTTTCAAGTTTAAGATTTTGTCATATCAGGGGATGAAGAGCACACAGTCATAATACAATAACGTTTGCTTCTTTTCCAGAGGATATGGTACTGCAATCATGCATGTGTTTGTTCAGAGGTGTGATAAGTCCTGTGCTAAATGGATTGATTGAATGTGCCACCACTTGCTGGTGGAGAGATGCAAATTTTGTCCTTGGCACTGTAGGGCCATTGAAAACTGAGGGATCCTTTTTGTGCCAGCACGTACTGCAACACGAGACCTTGGTTAATATGATATCATCCCAAGGACCAGTTTCATTCCCACAGTTGGATTTGAACCCAAGATATATTGATCAACTTCTTACTTCACCACTCTAGAGCAGACATTCTAACCACAGCATCTTGTGGGAGAACTGTGCTACATGGAAGTGACTTTATTTGCAACTGGATGGATGTTGAGTGCTGTTTGATTTGCTCTATGCAAGGGGATGCTCCACTTTGCAATGCCCTTTGTTGAAAATCATACAGTAATACAACATTCTCTATTTAATGACTTTAGGCATAATTTGTTACTGTATATTTTGTCCCAGTGTTAATCTGGATCAAGTTAGGGTGATCATTTTTTTTTACTACATGTCTTAATAGTGAATTCTTACTAAAATACAGGAATTCCAGCATGTTAGATAAGATTATTAGTACATTAGAATGATCAGGGTCAATATATTATTAATAAACCAATTCTTTAAATATTTAAATTATAAACATGTTTAAAGAACCACTTCACTTCACTTCACTCAGTCGTCCTTAGACGACCAACTACATGACCCCTCCAGTTCTTCCTATCAGCCATTAGGGAAGCTAGGATCATTAAAAATTATATAAGTTTCACTCTTTTGCTCTTGTGTTATTTTTATAGATATATCTGTTATTCAAATTACGGTTACTGTTTGCTAGTCTGACCCATTTATTCTCTTATCATTCAATTTTTTGCACTGTTGCAAAGACTGCATGGAGATTTAAATGTATTTGTCATTCACCTCAGCTCAATTTACAGTATCCCGGCCACAATGCGTTTTTTTTTAAAAGACAGAATTACATTCTACTTGGATACATATCATACATTACAAATGGCTGACATATATCAAGAATGTGAAGTATTGTGAAAGAGATTTATCTACTAGACTACAGAGAAGGTAATACTTTAGTAAGTGTTTAGCAAGTTTAAAGCTATATACACTCATACCTAGAGTGTTTTCATTACCTACACTTTGATAATAACTACTTTTTAGAGTTTGATTCAACAACAATGGACCAGGTACCAGATACAGCCCAGCATTTCATAGAGTGTGACACGGAATCCTGTAGGAACTTCTCCAAGTTTTACTGTTATACCTGTCATCAGGGAATATGTGATGAATGCAAACAGCGCCATCTAGAGCAGAACAATAGACATGAAATTGTCCTTTATTATGAGAGAAAGAGAAAACTTCCTTCAGAAAAATGCAGGATCCACCCCACACAAGATTTAGACATTTACTGTAAAGTTTGCCAGGATCCTCTTTGTTCTAAATGCTTTGCCCTGTTTCACAGTGATCATGAGAACAGTGACCTTGAAACAATTTACAATGACATTCTACAGCAATGTCAGAAAGGAATAATTGAAATTCGGAAAGCAGTCATTCCTACAGCTAAAAATAATGTTGAATCAATTGGGAGAAAGAGAGAAAATGTCAAGCAAAAAATTGCCAAGTTTTGAGTTTGCATGAAAATAGAGCAGATGAGCTGAAAGAGGTTGTTGACAATATACTGACTGATAATGATAAAAAAGCTAGATAAAATAGAGAACTCTGTGCTAGCCGAAATGATGGAACAACAGAAAGAAACAGAGGACTACATAAAGTACATTGAAAAAATTATTTCAGACTATGAGAGTCACCAATTAAACACACCGAACTCATGAAATATCAACTAGACATTTCATTAGCTACCCTGAAGATGCCCAGCAAATCTGAACCCAAACTGCCAATTTTAACATTAGGTACACTAAATAAAGAAGAAATAAGCAAACAGTTTGGTAAAATAGAACTAGATTTATCAGAAAGGTTTGAACTTTCATCTGTTACAAAAGTAAGTGAAAAAACTATCCAGGGAAAAGTGTATCATTTGTCTCTCTTACCCCCAAACAAATTCTGGGCCAGTGATTTTATGAATATATTCAGTATGACATGGAAGGAAAGATCTTAAATAAAATATCCACCACTTTTTTAAATCTCCGAGGTAACCACACAGTAACAACAGAGGGAGAACTGCTTTGTGTTGTGAAGTGCGTTAGTAAAGGAAGCACACTAAATATGGTTAATATAACTTGTGAAAATGGTGAGGGGTAACAATAGATTACAACCCACCTGAGCTGTGAACCACGGACGGGACAGTGTCGTCAGACGTCTGTGTCAATCATGGGTATAATCACAATTGGCCTAATATGGTGGTAAATCAGCTGTTTGTGACGTATCAAATATATGCATCCCGAACCCGAACTATTTTATAAAACCTTTATTACTACATTCCTCCCCGTTTTAATAAGCCCCGGGATATGGCACAAATCAGAACATCCGACTTAATACCATTTAAATATAAAAGCAGTATACTGTACAAATATATACAATTTTTAAAATAATGACATTATAAAATTAACATAACATTTTTAAAGCATCCTTGAAGTCTGATAGTAAAATGTCATTTCCAATTTCTGTCAAATGTACCCCATCTCTTCTAAAAAGTGTTCTGTTTTTCCAATGAATTTCATGATGGAATATCACTTTCCCTCCCCTTCTTTCCATAAATGATCCAAATTCTCAATTGATTATCGTTTTCTTGTTTTCTCCCTCCCAGACTGTGATTTTGCCCCAGACTCTTCTTGACAATAGTTCCGAATAAATAAAAATTGTATCTGGAAAATTCTCCATGTATGAAGAAATGTCATTTTTCATTTTGGTTACGAGAGAAAGAGGACTTGAAAAAGAGATGTCATTAGATCCTAAATGAATTATAATAATGTTTGGAATAATATCTTTCGTAGCAGAGTTAAGTGTTTCTGTAAGCAAAGACCATCTCATGCCACTTATTCCATGCCACTTACTGTTGCAATTTTGTAAACCTAAGTCAGTAGAGTGGGTGTCAATAGATCTTTGATGGGCCCAATGAATAAATGAGGATCCTATTATGAGTATGTCTTTCTTTCTTGTAAGTTCACAATTTTGTAGAAACTCAGTAGGAGCGCTGCTTATATCCAACAGAATACTAAGTATTTTCCAGTGAAACAAACTTGTAAAGTTTTGAGCAGGATAAGGAGACTTTGGTAATGACTGTAGTTGATGAGTTGTTTCTAAGTAATATTTTATTTGTACAAGGTCATCCTCTTCATGCTCTTGCCAAATTGTTCCTAAAAATGCAGAAAATTTTTCGTTTGAATTTATAAATGATATATCACATTTACTTTGTTGAATCTGTTGAATAAAATAGATATTTTTTCAACCCACATTTGACCATGAATGTTAGTATCATATCTACAGTATGTGGAGTCATCAAAATGTTCTTTTTCTATTTGAAGCCTCAAAAACCTTTCCTGGCCAAAACCTAATTCACATGTCCCACATGAAGTCTTTGGATAAAGAAAACAAGGAATATGTTCTTGAATAATAAGCCGTCGGACATGTGTAAACTTTGAATTACAAACAGGGCACTTTTTCCCTTTTTTACCTAAAGTGGAACCTTGCACGTGGTTTGGTAGAGGTTCTTCCTCATAGTCAGGTACAAAATGATCTCCTAACTCTGACATTTCTAAAACAATTGTATTTTACATTAAATACAAGTTACTTTTAATATATAAATTTGTAAATTAAAACTTTTAATGTTCCTGATGCTTAAAGGTTTTTGATATATTATTATACAGGCATAAAATAGTAAGATGAAATAAAGATACACTTAAAAAAACTAAATATGTTTATTTATGTATTATTTTGTTTCTTTTTTCTGTTTAATTTTTTTTATTATATATATCTAAAACAGTGAAACATGTTAGTTATTAAATCACATGCACTTCTGTTAATTTAATCTTGTACAAAATCAGATAGGTAACTGGGTCTTTGTCTTGTGCTTTGACCTCTTTTAACCTGTTCTTTTTCTGTAGAAAGAGAATTAACTTGAAGCTGTACTGGGGTTTTGATGATGCATCAGAACATCCGACGCATCATCCTTAGCAAAAAGGTTTGCAACATCTGAGATCACATCATCAGATTCAGAAGTAGCTGGAGAAGGACAACTAGTCTGCTTTAAAGACCCATCACTCTGGTTGAAAAATTTATTCCTGAATCTTTTTACCCAGCCGGGATGATCTAGATCGTATGAGGTCATGGTGTATTACAGATTCTCTGTTTTTCTTATTGTTGTGAGGTGTGTATTGTTTCATCATGTATATTAATATTATAACATTAAGTTTCTTGAACATTCCAGAGTGGTCAAAATGTTTAGTCATTTTTTTCTAAAACATTCTTGAACTTTGTTTATGTCTAGAACTTTCCAGGAATATCATGTACTTACAACTTCTAGAATATTCTAGATTTCTATTACTGTATAAATATCCTGTAAATTCGATGCATGGATACCATTGTCGTATTAGCATCATTGAGGTATTACTGGGATATAATTTCACTGGGACATTGTGTGCAGCAACGGACACTCTGATGTATGTATTTTTTAGATTTTTGCTAAGTTTGTACTTGATGATTTGTATATTACTGTAAATAAATTAGTGTTAAGTTTAAACTGTGTGATTGATCTTTGCTGGCATTTAGGGTAATTCTGAACCATAACAGAATTGGGGGCTCGTCCGGGATCAAGAATTTCTTGCACTTTTGCAGTTTATTGTCAAAATTTTGTTTATTGAACCGCTTAATTTAATTATAAGCCAGCAAAAATCAACATGGTATTTTCGGTCACAGACTTTCTTAGTTCACCAAGTGTACAGGTTTTTGATACGTTAAAAAAAGGATGACTTGATCGCATTAGGTTTGCATCTTGGGTTAGATGTTAAATCTTCTCAGAAAAAGCAAGATATTAAAATTAAGGTTGCAAACAAACTAGTTGAAGAAAACATCTTTGAAAAATGCGATCTTCAAGAATTTACAGTTAAATCAGAGTTAGAATCTTATAAAATGTCAGAATTTCAGTATCAAGTAGAGTTAGAGAAAATGCGATTTGAAAGAGAAAAATTAGAAAGAGAAGAGCGAGAAAGAGAGAGAGAAAGAGATAGAAAATTTGAATTAGACAAATTAGAAAGAGAAGAACGAGAGCGTGAACGAAAATTTGAATTAGACAAATTAGAAAGAGAAAGAGAAGAGCGAGAAAGAGAAAGAGAAAGACAAGAGCGAGAAAGAGAGCGTGAATTGAACTTTGAATTAGAGAAATCAAAATTACAGAACCAACCAGGACTTTCAGTTGTCAAAACTGAATTTGACGCAGCAAAAAATATCAGATTAGTTCCGAAATTTCAAGAAAAATCTGTAGACAAATATTTTCCCCAATTCGAAAAGGTCGCAGAGAATCTTAAATGGCCACAACACGTTTGGTCAACAATGTTACAAAGTGTACTGGTTGGTAAAGCAGCTGAGGTACATGTA